AGCTAAAATATATAATTTATTCATTAGTCTTTATTTTATTTTATTTGTATTAAATAATTAGTATAACTAATTGCTAAAGAGGCTAGAATATTTTATTTTATTATGTTATTTTCAAATATAATTTAAATGTGCATGGTATTGGTAGGTATGGTATGTAAATGTTACATGGTAGTGTTTCAAAATAGTGTTAACTTTAAAAAGAAATGAATTGTAAATTACAAAAAAAAAAAAAAAAACTATGTGGTATTTATAGTAATTGAAAATGACCAAAAGACAACAGAATGGCATTTAAAAATCTGTGCATTTTGCAACTGTAAATTAGGATATCAAGGGTCAGCTGAGCAGATTCATGCAATTGTCTGATTAAAACATTACCTGTCTTGCAGCTCTTGGTCAGTGAGCTGTAGTTCGTCTTTTAGAGTCTGGTAACGGTCCCACCTCAGTAGTCGAGCCCTGTCATACAGAACTAGCTCTCGGTCATGCAGCAACCTGAGACAGGCAGGCCAGATTAATCACCAAACAAATGACCAGCAATCTGCTCCAAAGTGAAAAACTCAAGCACAGAAATAGCAGTGCTGGGTTTGCACACCAAGAGTGTGTTCTCAAGAAAAAAATAATAAATAAAACTGCCAAAAAAGACCAAAAATAAAAGGATTAAAAAAAAAAAAATTGCGTCAAAAAAATATGTTAACAGACATTTATGAAGAGAGGTACATAAAACACAATGTCCTAACCAATGTCCTTGATGCAACAAGTTTCCAGTGTCAACTAATTTGTCCACCTATTATTATTCATTTATTGTCATTATTATTAGTAGTAGTTTATTATTAGTAGTAATTTAATATTATGAACATTTAAAGTACTACTAAATTATTACTACTACTACTAACTCAAATGTTTATAATAGTAATAATAATAATAATAATAAATTATTATTTTACTACTACTAATAATGTATTGATATAATAAATATTTAAACTTACTACTACTAATAATAATTAAATGAATAATTAACAAATATTTTTTCATAATAACAATACATTATAATAATAATAATAATAATGTATTATGAACATCTGATTTATTATAAGTAGTAGTAATTTATTGATATGAACATTTGAATTATTACTATTAACATATTTTTTTCTATCATTAATATTATTATTAGTAGAAGTAGTAGTAATAATTTATTGATATAATGAACATTTGAATTATTATAACGAATTATTAATATAATAAGTATTATTATTAGTACTACTACTAATATAGATACGTGAACACTGACCATTCTGGATTATGGACGATAAAAATGAGTTGGCATCACACTGGGTTTGGTGTTATAGTGTAAGCCTCTAGAGTAAGTGTATAGTAGTGTAAGTGTAGAGTAAGTATGGATTGAGGCTGACCTGGAAAGCACAGCCAGAGTGCCACGGTGGATGCCGTCCAGCAGCACCAGCTTGCCCTCCTGAGCAGCAGTGACCAGTGGGGAGGCCCTCCAGGCTGTGTCTCCATTAGGCAGGGTGTACCTCTGCTGGAGGAGGTCCCGCGCAGTCATGTCCTACCACACACACACACACACACACACACAGAGGCAATGCCTGTCATTTAGTGTATCCTGTAGTACGCTGACAAAGAAGGACAGAGGTGTGTGTGGACAGGGTTTACCAGTGAATTTGAGGTCAGTCATTCACACTGCTTTAGACTGTTATGGAAATGCATGGGCAGTGACTGATCTTTTATAATAACACAATACATCCACCATGACTCAAGATTTAAGCAAAGGGCTGTGCCATGATCTCAAGTAGCAATCACTCAATATATTGGCTAATTTTTAACAAATATGGTGTGAAATGAAAATGTTCAATTAATTACATTTTGTACATAGTATTTTCTGCTTTGTTCCAGTTTCTGAACAGTTTATAACTGTTCTGTTTTTTTTTTCCTCAGATCGTTGGACAGCAATCTTTAGCATACTATATATACTCTAAGAAAATACTATATATATATATATATATATATATATATACACAGTATATCTCACGTCTGATGAGACCACGATAAACTTATTTGGTTCAGATGGTGTCAAGCATGTGTGGCGAGTACAAAGACAAGTGTGTCTTGCCCACAGTCGAGCATGGTGGTGGGAGTGTCATGGTCTGGGGCTGCATGAGTGCTGCCGGCCTGTACTCGCTTCTGTGAGATACTGTATATATATATACAGTATATATATATATATATATATATATACATATTAATTCAGCAAGGATGCATTACAATGATCAAAAGTTAAAAGTAAAGATATTTATAATGTTGCAAAGGATTTCCATTTCAAATATTCAAACATACAGTTCATTCTATTCATCAAAGAATCCTTAAGAAAAAAAAGATCATGGTTTCCTGAACAATATTAAGCAGCACAACTGTTTTCAACACTGATAATAATACTAAATGTTTCTTGAGCAGCAAATCAGCATATTAGAATGATTTCTGAAGGATCATGTGACACTGAACACTGGAGTAATGATGCTGAAATTTCTGCATCACAGCAATACATTGCATTTTAAAATATATTCAAATAGAAAAGTTATTTTGAATTATAATAATTTTTCAAAATATATGACTGTTTTACTGTATTTTTGATCAAATAAATGCAGCCTTGGTGAGAAGAAAATTCAAATTCAAAAACATTAAAAACAACTATCACTAGCTTCAAGCATGTTCAAATATTACACAATTTTCAACGGCAATTTCACACATATAAAGCTCCATGTGTCAAAGTTCATATTTTATTCTTGTTATTATAACACTACATTAAATTTAAAGCATTAAAAAAACATTAAAATATGAAAATATGAGACCAATTGAACTCTTCCACTGTTTGCCAACCTGTTTGAGGGAAATTCGCATTAACTTTTAAGACAAGAAAAACACTGAAAAGTTATCTCAAGGTGAATCTACACAGGGAGAACAAAACTATCATAACAAGTGGAAACACAAGACACAAAACAGTATTGCTTGTCAAAGCAAGTGCCAAGACTCTTTTTCTGGCTTGTGACGTTGTATTTTTTCCACAACTGAAAGCACTGTATGTCATCAGGGACGAGCAGAGGCCCATACGAGTTCATAAAAGGGCTTCAGAGGGCTAACAAGATGAAGTGCGCTACAAAATTCCTCTTTTCCCCATACACTACGACCTCTTGCTCTCACCGGTAAAAAATAACTTGAGCATGATGCACGGACTGCTTCCTTTTCCTGCTCTATTCTCACTGAGCCAAAGGAATTCCCGACATTCCAGTATTAAACGCACACACGCACAGTGTTTTACTACCTGCGGCGCTAAAGTTTACACTCTGCTCTGAGCGGTTCTTCACAGTCTGTATGAGGTGCATCAAAACACGAGCATGCTGCGATCAGACCCACATGCTGTTGCGGGGCGCTCAGCAAGAACTCTTCACATCAGCTCCTCACCACATTTTGTCTGAAGTCTCAATCAACATTTTGGTTTAAGTTTTACATTAAAGGGATAGTTCACCCCAAAATGAAAAATTGCTGAAAATGTACTCACCCTCAAGTCATCCAATATGTTTCTATCAGCTGTTTGGACTCATTCTGACGGCACCCATTCACTGCAGAGGATCCATTGGTGAGAAAGTGACGTAATGCTAAATTTCTCCAAACCTGTTCCGATGAAGAAACACACTCATCTACATCCTGGATGGCCTGAGGGTGAACACATTTTCAGCAAATGTAATTTTTTGGGGTGAACTATTCCTTTAACCGTTAATGAAAATAAATCAAAAATAAGAAGTACAAGGATATTTACAGAAGTCCCTCTGTGACACATCGCATATTATTATTTACATAATTTTGTTTATTGTTATTTTTGATATAAAGTACATTGGGGTGTTTTGTCTTACATTTTATGTTATTTAGTTAATGTTTTTTGTATTATTTTAGCATTGTGTGTCACCCTGCTGGTGTTTTGTGTTTGTGTGTATGACCCTGTGCACTGTCTATATGTTTTATCAACAGGCCACTTACGATGAACTCTGATTTATCATGTAGTTTTCTACTCTACTCCCTGTATTATCATGGTGGTTATCAGTACAATTTAGGTAAAAGCTGATTTGGTAGTTTATTGTTCTTTTTACTGTAAATTTACCAGGATAATTTTTTACAGTGAATGCATTGCTTTCTCTGTGAAGAACACATGTGATGCCAAAACATGGTATCTTAAAAGGCATTTGTCTTTTTTAACAGCATTTACATTGGGAGCACAACTATGATGCCTTAAAAGGCTGCCTACGTAGTCAGCTGACACGATTTTGTGTTCTGAAAGCAGAATAGGGCCAATGCTGTTAATGATAACTGGGGGAGATCAAGGACAGGGCATGACTCTGATCCAAGAATAGAAACGACCCAAGAACACATGGCTATTTAAGGACTCGAGCTCAAAAATATTTTGTTTGGTCTTACGAGAATCACAAATATTAAAACACCAATGATTGCTGATGGAAACTCAGGGAGATCTGTGACCCCTGTGGTGCATGAACTCTGGTTCTGTGTGCTGATGCCCAGGACAACACTGAGCTTTCCCCCAAAAACCCAAACACTCATCTGAAAACCTCACTGTCCACAGCTGCGCACAACTGAGCAAACACAAAACCATGCTCATGTGATGAGAAGGTACATTCAGAGACCCAGACAGAAGAGAGCAAAAGAAAGGGGGTAAAGGAAAACACAACTGGGAACATTTTGCATTTTACAAAGGAATAGTCCAGGTTAAAGATAAAATGGAAAAACTGCAATACAATTTATTTCTCCATGTAAACATGCGCTAGATGGACGAGTTTGAAAATGCCTCTCTAAAGCATTTTTGATACCACTGCCCTGCGTCTCGCAATTTCAAAGCAAAAAAAAAAAAAAACACATCTGCACAGTCGGTATAGTTTCTAACCCAATCTTATAATAAAATTTTAAAATAAATGTATCTATAAACAATTTTGGCAAATTAATGGTGAAATTGTATGAATTAATTTTATAATTTAAGTCATATGAAAATATGATTTTCAGAAGAAAACAACATTTTACATTTTGTTCAACTTGTATGAGTTCATATGAACATAAGATTTTTATAAAACAAACAAACAAACAAACATTTTTAGAGGAAAATGTAAGTATTTCACATTTTGATGAATTGGTGGTAAATTAGTTTGAATTTGGATGATTTGAGTCATATAAATAATCAGTAAAAAAAAAAAAGAAACAAATAAAAAGATGATTTTTAGGAGAAAACAACTAATTTACATTTTGGCGAATTGGTTGTTGAATTTGTATAAATTTGTACAATTTGAGTCATACGAAAACACAATTTTTAGATAAACTAGAATAAAAAGCGCAATTTTAGAAGGAAACAATTATTTTACATTTTGATGGTGAAGTCGTATGAATTTGGATAATTGGAGTCATATGAAAACATCTCGATGAAATTGTATAAATTTATACGATTTGAGTCGTATGAAAATGTAAACTTTTTCTATAAAACTAAAATAAAAAGTGAAATTTTAGAAGGAAACAATTATTTTACATTTTGGTGGTGAATTCGTTCAAATTTGAACGATTTGAGTTGCACAAAAAAGTAAGATTTTTAGAAAAAACAAACAAACAAACTAAAACTAAGCATCAGCGGTGTGTAAGCACATCACACAAATAAATAAAAAATTAGATTCATACAAATTTGCAAAAAAAAACGCAAAACAGGCTGCATCCACACCACTAGATATCAGTACAAATCTAAGACGACTGCTATATCAGCTTGTGCACTATTAAAAATATGCAACTTTAAAGGAATATTTTCAGGTTCACTACCAGTAGAACTCTACTGACAGCATCAATGACACACCACCACAGAAAATAACACGTCGACTACTGTACAATAAACTAAACTACATTTTTGCCAACAGCTGAGGCACAACCATTTTCAATTGAAATCGAAAACATCTGTGGCGTACAACTTAACCTGTACTGATCCTTCCTTTAAAATGTTACCATTTTGTCTTCTTGGGATTGATTAGTTTTTATTATTTTCTTATGTTTTGACATTACCTGATAAAGCATTATTGGTTCAATGCTGTAGCCCAGCATTTCAGCAAATTCTCTTGCAATCACGGATTTGCCACAGCCCTGAAAAAACAAGAAGAAACAGCATTAGCCAAACCACTAGGCAATTTTACTAAACAAGCATATGATATACATTGTTCATCTGATCTAATCTCACTTAAATAAGAACACAAGCCATGACGCACACACAGAAGACACAGATGATCTTCCTGCATTACCTTAACAGGCAGTATATGAAAAGTGAGCTATTGTTCGAAACACATCAACTTTCTAGTTCAAAGTGCATTTGTCAGTGAGGGTGGCCACAGGAAGTTGTCTGTGTACCTTGGCTCCGATCAGACCAATGTCTTTGCCGAGGTGGGACTGCATCATCTCAGACAGCAGGCGGTCGTGGGTGGGGGTGCCGATGAACTGCAGTTGAGTGAGTGACTCGGCCACGTCCCTGATGTAACCTGCGGAGAAACCACAGCATTTCCTATTGAGGGAAGAAACGGTTAATCTAATCCACAATTCCAAATAAAGCGCAAAGCAAATTTACCACCATCGCTGTGTCCTGACCTGAAAGGGGATGTTCTGGTTGGTTATGTTGAGGGTGACAGCTGCCTGTCCTGCGTGATCTCCATTCACAGGCTCAGCGCTCACCACTGCAGTCGGAGAAGGTTTCGTGCTTCCATCAGTCAACTCAAACCTCTGAGAACAGAGTCTCTATTAGTGGAAATTAATTATACAGTGGGTATAGAAAAGAATGACCCCCCTTTAAAATAATCACATTCTGTTGCTTTGCAGCCTGAAATGAAGACGGACACAGTTTATAGAGTATACAGAGACTTACACTGAGACCCCCTCTACTGCAGTACGGCCTTCCTTTCCCAGCATGACCTCGTATGGGTAAAGCCTCTGCACCAGCTGCTGCGCTGACAGCATGGGGAACAGGTTCTGCAACACACAAATGCTCTTCAACAATATCTACAAATCAAATGCCTCTACAGATGTAAATTAGATTTCAGCACAATCACATTTATAATATCCCTCCATGTTAAAGGGGAGGTTGATCAGCTATTATCAAAGGCTTGATAGTGTTTATGGAGTGCACTGTAACGTGTTCATGCTACGTAAAAAAAAAAAAAAAAAGGGTTATTTTCACATACTTTACCTTTATTCTACACCGCTGTTTTCGTTCTCGTCAGAACGGTCTGTTGAGTTCGTGGTTCTATGAAGCCCCTCCCTCAGAAATACACAATCGGGCTCAGATTGGTTAGCTGGCCCAGTGTGTTGTGATTCGCTAGCCGCCTAGCGCACGTTGTCCGGAAACATCACACCCCCTTCCAATTACGGGTAGCTGCATGTTCCCGGGGGCAGGGTTTATGTAAACATCGGGGGTAGTGATGTCACAAACCCGGGAAGAAGCTTGTTGTAGTCCCTACCAACCTTTTTTTGTAGTCCTTAAACAGTGATTTCTTTAAAAGAAGGGGTCATATGATGCTGCTAAAAATAACATTATTTTGTGTATTTGGTGTAATGAAATGTGTTTATGCGGTTT